CGAGTGCGCCCCCAACTTCGCCTGAAGCACGAGCGGATCTAGACCTCGCCTGTAGCAAGATCTCGCCCTCGCCTGCTTTGCGTCGACCTCGCCCGCAAAGCCCAGACCTCGCATGCATCTCGTCTTGGACTTTGAGCTCGCCTGACGGAGCTCCTCGCCCGCTCGAGCTCGCCTAACCTCGTCGAGCTCGCCTGCTCAACGCTCGAGCTCGCCTGAAGATCTTAGTTGAAACCTCGCCTGCACTAAGGTTTGGATCTACACCCAATCTAACAATATATGGACTATTCCTTGGGTACGGCTAAGGATGGAAAGACACGGTAATTTTCAAGCCTAAGGTTTTATTATGCTACAGAATGGCTTTGTACATGTTATTGTCAAGTTAAGTCTTACGGTACACTCTCAAAAGTCTTAAACCAGTTTGTTAACAATCGTAATCCTGACTTCTTAAACCAATATAAAGTTTTTCATGTAATTTAATTAGCCCTGAAATTAACTTTTTTCGACAAAAGCAGTTGTAATGAATTTTCCGATTTAAAAGAAAATCTATGGTTCATAACCTCATTGATTTCAGATTATCTCCAAACATGGGTAGACCATAGCTTATTTTATTATTTTCTTTTGAAGAAGCAAAAAATTGTAATTTCCTCAAAGAACTTGGAGGAATTGTAAACAAGAAGCACAATTATCTAATATCTTTTGTATAAAACTATAAATATATCTCACTAGCTATTGTTTCATGTTTCAATTTTTTTTTTCAAGCTGCATTGCTCATGCTTGGTATGCTTGTCTAACTAAAGGGAAAACTACAGCAGCATAACAAATCAACTATGTAAATGTCTGAAGTAAGGTGATGGTGCGCATACCTAGTCACTAGAAAATGTTATACCAAATTTATAGTGTTGGAGCATAAACATAACAGCAATTTAAAATCTGCAAATAATTATTGTAATTTTAATCAGAAGAAAGGGAAAATACCATAGGCAATGTAGTCGGAGCATAAGAATCATCATCCTCTGCTATCACAAGAACTTCATCCCCTTCTTGCAGAACATAGGAATCATCAGGATTTAAAATTATCTTTCCACCGCATGATGCTACCTTTATTCCACAAGGAATTGCATCAGGAAAGCTTATCAATATATCTTCAAACTGCATTCCGTCCAATTGAGGCCATCTTTTAATATAAAACTCACAGTTCTCAAAGCCAAGGATATCTTCCCAAATCTGTCAAAACCATTGAACTACATGGTGAAGAAAACATGCAATGCACTGACAAGGAATACTTTTCATGCATAAAATAATAAAATTAAACATAAAAAAATAAAACAAGTTTAAAAAAATATCAGGTTGTTCTAAATATAACTGCCCCTGGTCTAGTGGTAAGTCATTACACTTATGGGCATCCTCAGGTGCCATCTGAATATAAGGCCAAATGCCAAAAGCTGTGCAGGCAACTGCAACTCTTGAGGGCAAAGCGGAAGCAAAGAAAAAAAAATCAACAATCACCTAGATAAAATGTATTTTTATTGAGATACCCAAAAACCAGCAAATTCCACCACACAGTGATGGAGATGAGAGAACATGATTCAGATGGATTCTTCCTGACCCCCATACCTCTATGTTGTACTTGGTAGAAGAAGTAAAGGCCAAAACTGGTAGAAGAAGTAAAGGTCAAAACTAAGAATTTAGATGACAGACTGCAGTTAGTTAACATATGTCCAGCAGAGAGCTGGTTTGATTAGCTGAATTCCAACAGCTTTCTATAGAAAGAGTTCTTACTACAAGACTCAAGTCAACCAAATTAACTGAGGGAGCTCAGCTCTTTGTAACGTATGAACTCAGACAGCTAAATTAACTCTTAAGGCCTTATTCATGTTCTAATAAAAATACAACAAATATGTTTGACTTGGGGGCTTTTGTGGGTTAGTTCAGACAGAGGTTTTTAATTAATGAAGTCCCACTAAACAAATGAGTCTTTAGTGGAGAATTTAACTCCAGAACTTATGAGACAGACAAAACTTAAATTGTACCCATAAATTACAATCTGAAAAATTATTGGAACATAAAAAATTAAGAATGTGAAGATTTGTCCACTCCACCAAATTTTACCATTATCCTTTCTGCAAATCTGCAATTAATTATTCTACGTATGTTTTATACATCAAATGCCATGTACATTAGAGGGATAAGGGTCTCCTCTCTAAGTTGATTAAAATACAATCATTTGAAGCTTCCAGAAGAGGTTGAGCTCAAGCCAAAAACTTCATGGGAAGCTACCATACTAGCTGGAAAGATGGGTCGATGTTTTCTTTAACAAGAAAACATCTATGTGCTGCATTGCCTGGTTAATCTGTTCATCATCTACTGGTCCAAGTTATTAAATACAAAGCTTCAAAAGCTTTTTTTTTTCTTTCTTTACCTTTTTCTTTCTTTCTTTTTCTTTGCAGGAACCAGAATAGGATCTTAACGGATATATAATTTCAAGCAATCAGCTAGAATGAGTATTCTGATCAAATTTTCATCTTTGAAACTGTTAGGTAGAATATGAAATAAATATAGTACTATACATTAATATTTTTCCAAGGGATGCACAGTACACTTTCAATGAGAATACTCAACCAGAAAAGAAAAGATAACACCAAATTGTTTGTAAAGGACTGCAATGAAATTCAGCACAAACCCTACTGACCTGAGCAAGGCCTGGTTGACGAGCACATTGTATCATTAAACGGCCAATCACATCATGAGCAACTACTGTTTCAACAAGATCTCCACCAACAAGTTTAACCAAAACTTCGTTATCTAGATCACTCAGTTCCACCACTATGTGTCCTCTTAGACCTTCTTTAACTCCATTTAAGCTTAAAACAGTTCTTAATGCTCTTGCGTCGCTCTGAATAAATTGGGCAAAAGCAATCAGTAGCCTGATGGCATAGGATAACTTTGAGATCTGCTACATAATTACCAGGTCAGCATTTCCATCTTCAGCAAGGACAACCACAGCACGAGCCGTTGAAACAGAAACCTGTTAGACACAGATAGCCGATCACATAATAGAATAAATGTACAATCATACACTGAAAATAGATGTTAGAAAGCACTAGGAGATGTTATACAATGTATAGCATAACAGTCAGGAACTTTACCAAAACAGCATATATAAAACCAACCTTTTTCAAATCAGCGAGAATAAGAGGACTTCCGCTTCTGCATATGACAGATGTTCCCTTGAAATCAAACTCCATTTTAGCAATAAGAATAAGAGGACTTCCGCTTCTGCATATGACAGATGTTCCCTTGAAATCAAACTCCATTTTAGCAATATCAAGCTCCATCTCCTCCTTGTCTCTTTCCGCCATCACAACGACAATACTACCACCCAAACTCTCATTGGCAATTGCAAGTTGATTCAACAAAGATCCCTGAATTCCCATAAAATATTGAATGTTAATTCAACAAAAAGGAAAAACTTCAGAACTTTGCTCAATACATAAACTGAAACTTCTCCGGGAGAATCAGAAAAAGACTGATGTTTATGACAGTTTATGTGCATTCTCCATAAACTTTTATAAAACAAATATACTTATAAAGCAAACTAATCAAAGTGAAATAGAAATGCCTAAATATTATGTGTTTGTTGACTGTATGAGATGAATGCAACGACAGAATGTTCATAAGAATGCTTAATGGCATTCTGTAGAAACTTATCTGGTAACAGGGGTATAGGATCAATTGCATTCACAAGATGCATACCTTTACTCTAGTCCTCAATCTGATGCAGATTATGGGACCATGGGTCAACATCAGGTATAGTTCAATACAAATCTTTTTAAACTTAATGTAATTTGGTTGTTTGAGTCCCAAATGTAGTGACGACTTACTACCAAAGGCCATCAGCATCAAGCAGAAACCGAAAAAGGAAAAACTATTATCGTAATGGATACATAATTGTGCTAATTGTGGACACACCCTTCGTACTATGGTGGTGTAACCACTTGTACTCCCTCTCACCCCCCACCCCCACCCCCCACAAAAAACCACCAAACCAAAAAAAATATTAGAATTTGCACCCATGAATCTCTGAGTATTATTTTTTGCCCGCAATTTAGAGAAAAAGTTGGTCTTTTTCCAGCTAAGCGGATGGGGAAAGGTAATTTCTCATATCATGTAATTCCTTCATGACATCTCGACCTAATGGCTAATTTAGGGAATAAGATGGTCCAGAGCTCAAGGGATGTGAGTGATAATAAACTAGCCTAAAGGATATAAGCAACTACACCCTCATATAATCAAGGTTGTGGAAAGCAAAAAGCGGAACATAGAGGTGAGGAATCGCTCGGGCTTCTGAGGCTTTAGCGGCAAAAAGATCAAGTAAAAAAGCGGTCCAATTTAAACATGTATAAATATGTTGGAGGAGAAGACTACGATGAGGAAGTGGCCTCGATAAGAGAAGGTGGAGAAGCTTCAACTGGACATGGTGATGGTGAGCTTCTACAGGAGATGGTGATAATGAGTTTTATTGAGAAGCCCAAGAAAAGGTGACGTCGTGATGGTAATGATGAAGGTGGAGCATGTTGGAGAAGAATTTGGAGGCAGATTTGGTGGCGGGAGACAGTGGAGTTAGCCAGAGGCAGTAGACGAGGCGGCTTGGGCAGGAGTTAGAGTTGCGGTTTATTTTCACCTCGAGTGGCAGAAACGGAGAGGGGAGGAGGAGAAACAGAGGGTTTTACTTAAGAAAATAGGTCAAGTTCGGGTTCGGATTAATTCTAATATAATACCGTATTAGTCTTTTTCAAAGCGTTGTCAAGCGTTTTCAAACGTTCTTACGAGCTTTCTAACACATTTTCAGCGCCTTTAAACGCTTAACAACGCTTTCATGAGCTTTCTAACGCATTTTCGATCAGAAAGTGTCACGTCTGCTTTCATTGGCCGCTTTCAACGAAAGCATAGTGGTGAGGCACCGCTTCCGCCTTGCGGACCGCATAAGCAGCCAAAAGTGGGGCCTTTTTCAACACTGCATATAGCATAGGGGTTTCACCTGCAATTAAACCTACAATGTAAGTCTAAGAAGAAAGGAATTTATGACATCAAACCTAAATATGTTTTGTTGTCTCTATAAAATGAGAGAGAAAGAGAGGAAGAGTACTACAGGGGTTTAGTAATGATTAGAATGTTTTTAGTTTCTTACGTGCATAATCTTAGTTTTGAAATTTGGAATCAGTTGAATCATAATTGGTTTCCTCTTACTTCTTAGAACATATTTTCCAAAAGTTATCAACTACTAGTCATCAGACTCATTACATCAAAGACAAAAAAGATTATGTTCTCAGTTTCTCTCTCTTGACTCTATCATATGATTTATACAAAACAAAGAGATCATGGTGAAACATAGAATCTGTTGAATGTAGATGTTGCTGCCAATGTAGAGCTAAATTTTAGGGGGGGAATTTTGCTCAAATTTCTAATCTATGTCCAACAGATTTTAAGTTTTACCACAATCTCTTTGTTTCGTATTAAATCATATGATACAGTCAAGAGAAACTGAGAACAAAATCTTTTTGTCTTTGATGTAATGAGTTTAGTTGAAGTTAAAATTGAATGATATTGTTAAATGTCAATTTTGTGCTAAATTTTATTTTTTCAATTATATAAATGTGTAAGCTAAACCTAACATAGGGTGACTACTCTCTTCCTTGGTTTCTAAAGACAAAAAACACTACCATTCTGTAGTCTACCATATCATTATTAACAGAATAAGAACCTCTAAATTGAGGAGCATATCATGACATAAAGGACTAAATTCTACTAGTTTGTCTTAAGAAGGTCCTGCTTTTCACTTAAACATTCCCTTTCTCCTTTCTTTGCGTGATTTTGAAGTTTGGGTTTGTGGAATCTTAACCATACTTTATACTTTTGCCTTTAAGCCATTACAATCATTACATGGATCATGTCATAGACTCATAAATTCTCCTCTCTATTGATTGACGTGAAGTTTGGAAATTCTTAAATCTTGGATGTTTGGTTCTCGCTTGTTAGACCATATATCCCTCAAATTATGTTTAGATTAAGTAATACAATCATTTCATCAAGATAACAAGATCAAGTCCTAAAGTGTTATCTCTCTCAACATTAATCATGTGATCCAATATCAACCAAAGTTATACAAGTAAAACTTGAAAAAGATGATGAACCTGAATGCACCGCCAGGCCCGCCACAGTTGATCTAATTATTAGTGAGAAAGTAGCTCTGATTTCTGATCCAACTTTAAAAACTAAATCTTGCAATGCTAACAAATTAAACAAGTGAAAAAAAATACTATGCTATCTACTCCAGAGAAATCACTACAAAAGGAGTATATGATAAACATTGAAATGATTAAAAAAATTACCAGCTTGTCGCTCCAGCCAAGAATTAGTGTGTGATTTTTCTCTATAACTTCACTTTTTCCCTTTCTCAAAGAATCAAACTTCTCTGAGATTGCATCAGAAACAAGCCCTAGCATCATGGCAAATATGAGCATTCCGCCAAAACTTATCGAAACTGAGACCAACTTGGGACCAATACCAACTGAATTTGCATGATTGCCTGAATCAGCAACATAAGTCCAAGATAACCACAACTTGGGACCAATACCAACTGAATTTGCATGATTGCCTGAATCAGCAACATAAGTCCAAGATAACCACAGGCAGTCAGCTAAACTATCATCTGTCACACCAAAGAGGGCCAAACCACCAAGGCATATCAGCAGTAAAGTTGCTAGAAGAAGAGCTAGAGGTTTAGCATATGGATGAACTGATAAAAACAAATCAACTTGATATGCTAGCTGCTTGTTAAGGGAAACTTCTTCAGAATCTGATGAGTTCCGCAACCTTGACATGCTGTCAATATACTTGAGAATAATGAGAGGAATGGACAAAATAATAAGTGAGAAAACCAGAGCAGAATTTTTTAGATTTTTGTTTGGAATATGGTTTCTCTCTTCAGAGGCATTACCAACAACTCCCATGGGATCATATATATTGCATTCATTTAGTCTAACATTGAGCATGGACAGCTGGTCCTGTAGAAAAACAAGGATTTAAAGAAAAGCATGAATATAGCAAAAAAAAATCAATGAAAGGAAGGGGGAAGCAGCTATTGTAACTCCTAATCTCTGCATTTTTGTGATATTGGAGAAGCACTATACATGTGAAGTAAAAAATCACCTGAGTTTGTCATTCTTCTGAGAGAAACCACCATCACAAGAATATGCATTTAACATTTTAAGTGCTTAGTAATCTAATAACAAAACAAAGTACAATGACTATTGAGGCGCAAATAAGTAGCAAAAGGAATAGTTTTATCAGAATAAAATCAATTTAGAACACCATTAGTCAAAATCAGGTTTCCCTTTACCTTGGCAGATGGAAACGAATCTCGTCCATAATCTCAAGGAAAAAGAAAATGAACATTTTCTACAAGCTGTAAAACCTATTGGACGCAGATCAACCTTGAAAACGCAATGATTAAGGTTTTAAAGCTCAAACAATTCTTGTACGTAACATCAAAAGGAAAAGTATGAAACCTTGTCTGCCATTAAGGCACAGATTTGCCCCTATTATTTATAAATTCGTATCAAAAGCTTGTAGGATAGTACCAATAACGTTCTACATATCAGATATCAGGCAGGGGCTTAGGCACCTAAGAGGGGGTGGTATCAAGTTGCACGACCCTCTAGCAAAGAAATTAAGTAGTGTATATAAGTTTTTGATTCATTAGCGACACCACTATACAGTAAGTAGTGACCCATATGGTTTGTTTATAATGGGCCAAAGTCTTAAATGGCCCAATCCCTAAATCTTATGTGCCAAATAGTTAGCATCATCTTGAAAAGAAAAAAAAAAGTGGGTTGTGGATCCTATTGTTGGCTGGTGCTATTCAAAAGGCTTTCTACTTTATATTTTTTTGTTAGAGTAAGTATCCAATTTTCATTATAAAAATAGGGTAAATCATTGTTTTTACCTTTGCACAGTAAACTCTTGAATTCAATGATGCTTTTATTATATAGACTATTGATTGATTGTTCGTTTTTTATTTGAAGTTGAAGATTTAACTCATGACCTAGTCATGAGGTTTTTTATTACATGACGTCAATTTGTGATTCAAAGTGAACTTTATCTGTGTGATATGAAATTATATTAATAGCACCAATTGAATGAGGCTATAATGCACCGATTTAAAACATGAAAATATGTGGAGGTCAATCGTAATTGTATTTAGTTAAATTTATGTTCCTAATTATATTGATTATGAGAGAAAATTTTGTTTTTTTTTGGGGGGGGTAAAATTTGTATTATTGTTTTCATATGTATTATGACACCACTTTCACGAATTGCTGGCTCCGTCCTTGATATCAGGGTCATGCCAAACAAAAATACTCCATACCATATGGCAGATGTCGGGATATATCACAGATATTTAGTAAATATCAAAATGTCATATTGGATGATGTTTATGTATACCATAAAAGTCCTAAATGAAATCAATAAAAATGTCAAATCATGTGAATAAAATATTTTAGCAGGCAAAGATATTGAGGGAGATATAATTGTAAAGAGTCAACTAAGATGAGTCGAGAGAGTCAGAAAGATCTATAAAGAGGAGCAGAGCGTGAATGGATGGCATACGGAAGCGGATGAAGAGACTCTTAGCTCGAGAAAGATGAGATGAAGAAGGTTATTTGAGGTTTCACTCTCCTATTTCAAGATTTGTATAAAGCGGGTTCAAAACCCAAAACCAACCTTCAAAACAATCTTAATATAGAATCTACATGACGCTAGTTTGATCAATCTTTTAGCATGAAATTTTTTACCCAATATATTAGGAAAATTCTAAATTGCCACTCGATATATAAGAAAAATCGCAATTCTCCCAAAAACAATAAATCACATGTAAAATCTTTCTCATTGCCGGAAGCTCTATAAAACGACATGTCAAACATATTGACTGATGTTTTAAACAGAATACCAATCTAATTGCAATCAAAATGTCATAATGCTCAACTAGGTTTAACATCAAAAATATATTACATACTTGTTCTCCATGGTAACCACTTTTCTTAATAACCAACTGAAGTAAACAAAAATATCAAACTGCAAAAAGAAGAAATAGGTCAGGCTGTAGTCACTTACCTGTAAATTCCTAAGCTGATTCTGCAAAGAAAAATTTTTATGAAGCAGAGAAGTGAAGCATGTAACAGTGATCTGTGAAAATAATTCAACTCATGAGTAAAATAACAAAAATCTGCAAGCAAAGGAACAAGTCACGCACAAATGTCATAATCCTAGACATAGATATGATATGTCACTTTAATAAGATTAAATACATTGAACAATTGCAAATTTTAAACAACAGACACTTTACAGAGAAACAAAAACACAGCATACAATGAGTTAAAAGAAACAAAACATCAAAAAACTGTAAAGAAATTTAATGCACCAGATAAAGAACCATAGACCTCCTGAAATGACATGAAAACACTTGGAGATTATATATAAAAGAACATGAAGATGTTAAACAATCTAACAAAATGTAACGGGTCCCTGGCTATAACCTAAAACACAAGAAGACACCGGCTACATGGAAGTTCTTTTGCTACTAGACAAATTCACAATTCTTAGCGCTTTGAACAATGAATATTAGCTATAAATGAACTCTTAAGCCTACCATCATCTTCAACTTTATATCAGACAAAGTTTTAGTTAAAGTCCATTAACAAATTGCAACTTAAGCCTACCATCATCTTCAACTTTATATCAGACAAAGTTTTAGTTAAAGTCCATTAACAAATTGCAACAAAACAAAGCTTTATTCCAGATTTTTTTATCAGACAAAGTTTTAGTTAAAGTCCATTAACAAATTGCAACAAAACAAAGCTTTATTCCAGATTTTTTGAGTAACATGAATCTGATTCTCCCATTCGGTTCACTAAGGGCTACAATACCAGTTACCATTAAGCTAAACCAATATCATATACTACTTAATTGCTCTAGTACTTCTTACACCCCATTAATTTTAATATTACCACTTCTCCTAATCGGTACATTTGGTGGTCTCTGTCGCACAAGCAACATCTAACTTCCTATGAATGCATTCGTGCAAATTGTGAAGACTAAATAAATTAGAAACACCATTTGTCACAAATTAGAGATGCCACTTGGCATCATCATACATAACGCCTTCCAGCAAAAAAAATTTGGAGGTTATAGTTAGATAATGTCAAAAGTTTAAATACTAATGACAAATTGGAAATGGTCTTTGATTAAGATCTAAACCATCCCCTCCGCCACATCCCAACACACACACACAACCCCATGACCATCAATCCTGCCCAGAGATATGACGATAAGAATGATAACATCATTGAGGAAAAAGTGGAGTTTGCACGCCATAGCCCGTGCATGCTCGCAATTGCGTTAAAGATATCAAATAAAAATTGAACTACCAAGAATAAAAATATGCAGTTTAGTTACTTAAAGAGGCAGTTTTGGGTGATACCTTGAGTTTAACATCGAAATTAGGCTCTTAAGATACAGCTTTAGGATGCCGTGATGAAAAGACATCGCTGGAATGCATTGGATTAAAAAAGAAGGCTGCTAGAAAGAAATTATTAAGTTGTAGGTTCCAGCATACCTTCTTTTGAGCCTATTTTAGTGGATAACTGTGATAAGATTTTATGTATTTGATTCATGAGGTTATTTGGATGCAATAAGACTTGTCTTGATAAGACACTGATTCCATGATTTAGGGATTAAGAAGAGGGGCGGTAGGACTGCTCAAAAGTTAGGAATTCTGTAGTTTGACTAATCACAGAATTTTGTTCTTCGTCCTCGGATTTTTCCCCTACGTTTTCCCCGCATTAGTCAATTTGTAAAGATGATATTTTTAGAATAATAACAGTAAAATGTACTTCTTGATATCACAAGGAGGTCTATTTCACAATTATTTGGGGGAAAACATGTTTAAAAATTTTCCTTTACCACACTAACCACGTAATGTAAGATAAATCAATATCAAAAATTCAAAAAATGGTCATAATAAGAAAAAAAACAAGCTACCCACCGCAACGATGACCGTCATCGGCCATCGGATCTTAACCGCAGCCGAAAAATCCCCAAACCTTCCACCAATCCCCTTCTTCTTCTCATCCCCAACCGCCGCAGCCGCCTCCGATCCCAATCCCGCCTTCTTCTCATCCTTCGCCGATCTCAGCGCATCGAATGTCACTTTCCTCCTAGCTCCCGAATACTTCGCCTCCCTCCCCGAGATCGAGTACGGGATCGGTTTAAAACTCGACGGCGGCGACGAATTAGACGATGAAGAGAAGCTGGACGTCGGAGTGAATCTTGAGTCGCGGAGGTAGGGTTTGGGAGAGGAGGAGTCGGAGGTGGAGGGGAAGGCGGAGCGGCGTCTTCTAGGGTTAGGGTTAGGGTTTGGGTTTGGGGTTCTGTAGGGGGCGGCGGTGTGGGGGAAAGGAGCGGAGGGGAAGAACCAATCGCGGTGGGCTGGTGGCGGAGAGGGCTCGGAGGACTCCAAGGGCATTTTGGGGAAGTTGGAGGGGGTAAGTGAGCTAGTGACTATAGGGGGTGCGTTTGATAACAGTTAAAAGTATGGGATTAGGGAGTGATATTATTGTGTAATGATGTTACCTGGAGTGTATTAAGAATTGTGATAACTACAATACTCACATCGTACTGTTTATTTACTGGATTCGGATCCTCTCCACTACAAAAAAAATAGTGGAGGGACCACTACATAATCACAGTCATTGATTATAAAAAAATAGTGGAGGGACCACTACATAATCACAGTCATTGATTATCTAGTTGATGGTTATGATTTTTTCTTTTAGTGCAAATTAGGAATGAGTGCAATACACGGGGGTATAGTAAGTATTAGATTTAGATTGTATCATAACCGCCTACTAAATAATCAACGCTTGAGATTAAAAGTAGTGGTCTCTCCACTACTTTTTTGTAGTGGAGAGGATCCAAATCCCTCTCTTGTAGTTTGAGAGCAATATAATGTAAGAAAAGAATAATGTAGTCGTCATTATTCGGTACGGCTAAGAATGCGGCTAATTTTGCTTTAAGATCCCGTATGATGAGTTCATCGGTGCTTTGGCGGTGAGCAACATTGTTATCATTCTCATTACTTGCCCATATATCATGTTGCATCTGGTATTTACGTAAGGCATAATATTCAAGATTAATTGTGAATAGATGTTGCTCTATTTTCGTAGATAGTGTTTTTTAAACTATCATCGTAACTTTTTGTCATAAATTAATTTTTCTCCTTTTCTGAAAGAATGGATGTCTACAAAATCACTTGGGGAAAAATAATAAAAAGATGACTTGCACATACATCACACGTGAGATTAATCATTCATTATTCTTACTTACTTATTATTATTATTTTGATAAAAAAACGGCGAGAGATCCCCTACGTTTTATTTTTTTTTTTAAAAGTTTAACGAAACTTATAGATACAAAATACAACACTCCCCTTACAAAATATCAAAATCATACAAAAGGATATATGTAGCAAAATACTAGTAGTGAAGCTTGGTAGAAGTGGGTATAAGCCAAATGATGGACTATTTGATATCGGAGTCACCCTCTGTCGACTTATCATGCCTTCCAATCTGTTGATCATCGCAGTCATCGCGCACATGATGGCGCAAGCCAGCATGAGTCAATCATGCAATAGCTCCGTCCCTCGCCTCCTTTAACAACAAATCAATCCAGGGAGAAAAGTAAGCAATTATGTGAAGAAAAATATGTGATGCAGATCTTGCATTATTTCTAAAAGTTCTATTATCTCTTTCACGCCAGACTGCCCATCGAGAGGTTGTTGTATGTAATAAGCACCATAAAGATAGATTTGACTTTTTAATCATAGCTCTGCTCCAAGCAGACAAATATGACATAAATATCTAGGTTGTTCAACACCATCGAAGTGCAACCTAATATTTACCCAAAGAACATTTGCGAAAGATTAATGGAGGAATAAAATGTTCTATTTTTTAGTATTCATGACTAAGGTGTTGGGATTGTGTCTTTGATTCTTTCTATAACTTCATGAGAATTAGATAGGGTTAGAGATCTATCATGATGTTGGGATTGTGTCTTTGATTCTTTCTATAACTTCATGAGAATTAGATAGGGTTAGAGATCTATCATGATTAGGAGATTGAGTCTCATCATGATTAAGAATTAGATAGGGTTAGAGATCTATCATGATTAGGAGATTGAGTCTCATCATGATTAGGAGTTTGAATATTATTCTAATTAGGAAGTTAGGCTAAAGATAGGGTTTTTGTTCCCTATATATTTTTCTATTGTTTGAGGAAAAACCAAGCATATGAGGGAGAGCAAATATTCTTGTAATCTAGAGTTAGCAGAGGACGTAACCTGATTTAAGAATATTGTGCGAGAGGCGAGGGTTTCGTAGTATTTATCCATGCAAAAGATTACATCATTGGGAGAGAATTTCACAGTCTTTGTCCATTTAAAAGAATGTAAGGAGATGGCTTTAGAGATAATATGAGAGTTGATTATGTATGTGAGGTTGAGAGATTTAGAGACGAGAGTCAGGTGGTTCCTCTTATAGTTCTCACTGATATATAGTGGATTTCTCGTATTGTTGCCTATAGACGTAGGTCAAAGTTGGTTGACTGAACCACATAAATCTTGGTATTCTTTCTTCTTGATTGTGGTTATTTTATATCTTATTGATTATGGGTTAGCTTCCAAGTGCGCAAATCGTAGTAGGCGGGGAGACTAAAATTCCCCAACAAGTGGTATCAGAGCCATGATGATGAATCTGGAAGCGAGTTCGCAAGATAGAAGATGACGTCGTACAAGATTGAAGATCGGCGTTACAAGAATCAAGATGAAAAGGAAAAAAAGAAGATTATGTTGTCTTTTGATCGAGGGTTTGGAGGCAGATTTTAGTGTTCTGAGAGTTGATTTGTAGGTTCTGGAGTGCTCTGAATGCGATGGAAGAGTTTGATTTTTAAGATTTTGCTCAAAATGGTCAGAAAGTGTAGAAAAGTTCTGACGGTAATGGCGAGACAAATCTGATGGTAGATAGGGAAAACATGTATGCAACGGATGAGACTAGTGTAAAGCATCAGATGTGATTATAGTAGTGAAGTTGTCAGCATATAATTATTCAGAATCATCGCGGGAGCAGGAGTTGGTTGGTGTGTAGAATCAAGAAGGACAGTGCCAAATTAGGTGGAGCTTGCAAGCAGGTACGACTGAGTGACACATATGCTAATGGAGATGGTGGCATTGGACTTGAAGATGTTGAATGCTCATATTTAGTCTAAGCCAAGTAATGGAGTAGATAGAGGTATCTGTTAGGTCTCATGTTATGAGATACATCTTCTAATCTTGTTTTGATGATTACAAACAATTCCTAATATTGTTTGTCTAGTGTTTATGTTTTCTTATTAGGTATTCTAGACAAACAATGAGTTGGAGGTTTGATGGAATTGCGCCATAACGATCATATCAAATGGAGGTTGGCGGAAATAGGGGAGTGAAGCAATGCAATTCAAGTTGAAGATCCAAGTTCAAGCTTCATCCGCAAGGAGCTATATTGAAGACCTTCAAGCTAGTTTATAGTATTTATAGTATAGGTTTATACTTGTGTGTTAATATCTTAAGCTCAATATTATACACACAATTTAATGGTTTATATGTTTTATCCACAAAAGTTTTTGCAAACAAATAGATATATAATACTTATTTGTTTTATATGTGGATAAGTTATTTTGGTTTAGCTATATAAATATGAAACAATATATATCTTTATTTTCACATTTATGTATTTCATATTCTATTGTATTTATGAAAATATTGGGTTCTTAGTTTATGGGCTTAACAATCATTATATACATCTTATATTAAGTCTATAAAAACAATTTACAAAGTTTCAAAACTTGGTTTATGTCAAAACATTTTATTTCATGTATATCAACTTTTTATGTTTTGGACATTTTTGTAAAATGACAAGTTTTCACAAATGAGAAGTGAAATTCACAAAATTCCTTTTGTAACATGTTCATTAACATGTTTATAGGCATTTTCCAAAGTTTTATATTTTTTAGAATTTATTTGATATTTTTAAACTCTGTTTTAAGTTGACATGTACTGTTTAAAACAGGTTGTGTGCATGTCTTGAGTCGACTCATGAACAGTGTTGAGTCGACTCATAAACTGTTGTGTAGTTTACATTTTGTTTCTGACGAGTTGACTCATAACATCATGAGTCTACCCAGATAGGTTGATTCGATTCATGTCTGTCATAAGTCGACTCATAAATTGTGCTGGAAAGTGTGTTTTGTTTCTGATGAGTCGACCCATGACTTCATGAGTCGACCTATGCATGATGAGTCGGCTCATGAATTTTATGAGTCGACCCATAAGCTATGTTTAGCCTATAACGGCTGGGTTATGAGTCGACCCATGATTTTTATGAGTCCACTCATAAAGTGTCTGTTGCACAGTAACGACTATTTTCAGATTCTGTTTTTGTGTGGGCTTTTGGTCATTTCATTGGGGTTTTGGCTCATGTCTTGGGTTGTTATAAATACCCCATTGTATTTACCTCTCCCACCTAACAAGAAGAAAAGTTTTAAAACAAGTTTACAAAGAGTTTTAGTTTGTTTTAAGTGTTTGTTTTTATAAAATTAGTTTTGTGAAGATTGTTTTTACAAGAAGAGGAGATCAATTTCAGTTTGGGGTGTTTTTACAAGAAGAGGAGATCAATTTCAGTTTGGGCTTTCAATCTTCCTATCCCTCTCTCTTGTGATTAGAGAAGTGTTTCTAAACTCATATATCTAGCTTGTTTATGCTTTAATTGTTATATTTATATTTGCTAGATTTAATTGAGTTTATATTTGATTTTCTTATTGTTTGCACACACAATCATTAAGCTTAAGTATTTTCACATATTGTATATTTGGGGTTGTGGTGAGTGTAACCTTGAGAGTGAGCTTACACTTAGCTCTCATCTTGTATTAGAGAACAAATATTGTATTTGTGCTTTCATCGTGAAATACATTTTGTAATATACTTGTACACCAAGAGAAGTGTGTGGTGAGAGACAGGTTGTCCCAAGAGGAGTGGGGTAGATGGTAATGCCTAGAGGTAGGTTGTAATTCCTAACACTTAAGAGAGACACGGGCTAGAGACCAACACTTAGAGGGTGTAAAGTATGATTGCAAGAGTATGAGATTGTAGAGTTTTCAGTGAGCTAGAAAACTGAGTGTGTAGAGAAGTTCCGACTTTCAAACCGGGTGTGTCGATAGTGGAGTTCTCCCCGAGAGTGGGGAGCGGAGACGTAGGACGGAAGGTTCAAACT